TCCAACATTTACAATCCCTTACGAAATGTTGATCAAAATTGCCTAAAACCTTTAAGCGTGTATTGTCGCAAAAATGATCAAATGTTGAATACGCCTCTCCTCCGACAAAGGCAACATATATGCTTCGTTCTAAAACAATATTTATATTTACCGACAAAATAGCCTTGGTGCCTATTTTACTGGGGCCAACAAAATACCCTCTCGGGGTTTTGTTTTCAGACAAAATATTTTATTCATATAAATTCATAGCATCATTATTCAGTCATCAATATCTTTTCCCTGATTTTCTATCTCTTTAAGCTGACTTCCAGCTAAATTCTATATTTTATCATTAGGTTGATGCAAAAGATGTCAGTATTTCTTTGACAGAATCTTTTAATAATATAAATTCGTAGCATTATCATTCAGTCATCAAAAGATTTTCTCTTGTTTTCGATGACCTTATACCAACTTTCAGGTAAATTGTTTATTCCATCACAGAAAAATAATTCTGTCTTTGATTTGATTGAATCTTCGATAATTTTCTTTATCTTCAACATTTCTCCAATCTCTGGCCAATTTATCTTTTTTTTATTTTTTTATTTTTACTCTAAAGTAAATAAATAAAAGTATATTATTTATATAACTTATACTCTTGTTCCAGTACGTTTTATTTCAGAAGTTCCGATAAAAGAAATCGCCGATAATATCCAACACACACACCAAAATGTTGTATTATGTTGTCCAATCCCCTGCTGGCTTTCTTAGCCGGTCAAAAATGTATTTTTTCTTCCAATTCCTCGTTCAAACAAACTAATTGCTCTCGGTAGCATTAGCCAGGGTATTTTTTCTGATTTTAGCAATTCGTGAGATAAAAAAGGAGACGCTCTTTGAGTCAGAAAGAATTCCAGCCCAGTAGAATCCGTTTAAGTTAAAATATCAAAGACTATCCTAGATCCAGATGCCATTTTATTTCGTTCTGAATTCTCAGAAGAGCTAATTTCTTTGCTAGTTACTATTTGACCCCAAAATGTCAATTTCTTTGTCGAGCAAAAAGGGGATAGAGATGTCTTTCAGTTCTTACTGAACTTATATTTATGTGCCGTGACCCCCCTTTCAGGACGTGGGGGATCATGGTTTTCCAGTATCCACTTTGGTTGAAAAATTGCCGGTTGCTTTATAACGCTCAAGAAAGTTACCTTACTTCTGTGATGTTCAATTTATCTAATACTAACAGCCTACACAGCTAGTCGATCAGAAAAAGCGTTCAATTAGAATGGTGCAAAAACAGCATCTATCAGAGTTTATCTTCTTCTATTACTTTAAAGTACTTTCATTAAAAAACATTTTGAATTAATGCAGTCACTGACATTAATTTCACTGCTAAAAACAATCTGAGATGTCTACTCAAACACATGGACTCACTAAAATAATACTTATAGTAACAAGAAAGAATGTTGGCTTTAAAAACCTAATTAATTACTTAAATAATCACTAATTAATATATGCTTCACAACAGATCTTCTTGATAAGTATACACTACAGTTCAATTGTTAGAGGAAACCCCTGGTAATTTTTTTAACTTGGCCCTAAAAATAGTTGTTTTATACTTTAAGTAACATAAAACTATTATACATAGTTAAAAAAAAGAGAGATATGATTTTTATTAGAAATTTTATTATGAGAAAAAGAAAAAAAGAATTTTATGATTAAATTTTGCTTTTGTTAAAATATCATCCTTTAGCCTTGACAAGCAGCCATACCCAACTGGTCAATCAGAAAAAAAGAGTTCAATTAGAATGAAGCAAAAACAGCATCATGTTTAAATGTAACAGAGTCTATCTTCTTCAATTGCTTTAAAGTACTTTCATTATAAAAACATTTTGAATTAATGCAGTTACTGATATAACAGAAGTAGTTAGCTGATGGCATGAAGGGGTAAAACAGGCAACATGAAAATCCACTTCAGACCACAATTATTTTGGAGTTTTTGAAATTCAATTTGTCAATATGCTACCAGGGATGTAAAAGAGGATACACTTATGATGCAATTGTTAAGTATGATGAAAATTGGTTGAAAGATCAATGAAAAATAAGAAAGAAACCAATAAAAATTGCCATTTTTCACTATTTACATGGGTTTTTACTATATCCGTGGACTCAATTATAAAATTAAATGACTGTTAAACAAGCAACTTATTTTGTTGGCTACAATCGAGTTAAGTTTGTATTAGATTGCTTGAAAATTGAGGCAGTTTTTAGTTTAAAATTTGTGTTAAAATTAATTTGTGTTGAAATCGATTTTTCGTTTTTCACTAAATGTAAAAAAGTGTAGAAATAAAAAATGGGGTATAATTGAGCTCGTCATGATATAAGTAATCAACATACCAAGTTTGAACGAAATCGGAGGAAAAAAGTTGAATTTTGATTATGGCCTCAAAGAGCTTGCTGATGATACTGAGGAGACTGATGGGTCTGTACTGGGTGGGGGAAGATCACACATCCGCGTTCTTGAAAACGAGGCATACACTTGGTGCCATCCAGAGCCTTGGGAAGGGTTTCCCCTTCAAGCAGCGATTGAATAACTTCGCTAGGATTGGGGAGAAATCCAGGTTGATATTCTTAAGGACAGCCACTGGAATTTTGTCTAGGCCTGTTACTTTCTTTGGTTCAAGGCCTTTGTACTGATTTGATCTATCTATCTATCTATCTATCTATCTATCTATCTATCTATCTATCTATCTATCTATCACCTTGTTCATATATTTGTCTGTTTATCTATCTATCTATCTATCTTTCTATCTATCTATCTATCTATCTATCACCTTGTTCATCTATCTATCTATCTATCACCTTGTTCATATATTTGTCTGTTCATCTATCTATCTATCTATCTATCTATCTATCTATCTATCTATCTATCTATCTATCCGTCACCTTGTTCATCTATCTATCTATCACCTTGTTCATATATTTGTCTGTTCATCTATCTATCTATCTATCTATCTATCTATCTATCTATCTATCCATCCATCTATCACCTTGTTCATATATCTATCCATTCATCTATCTATCTATCCATCACCTTGTTCATCTATCTATCTATCACAAGGCCGTTCATATATTTGTCTGTTCATCTATCATCTATCTATCTATCCTATCTATCTATCCATCTATCTATCTATCACCTTGTTCATATATCTATCTATCTATCTATCCATCCATCTATCATCTATCTATCTATCTATCACCTTGTTCATCTATCTATCTATCACCTTGTTCATATATTTGTCTGTTCATCTATCTATCTATCTATCTATCTATCTATCTATCTATCACCTTGTTCATATATCTATCTATCTATCTATCTATCTATCTATCTATCTATCTATCTATCTATCAAAATTCATCTATCTATCTATCACCTTGTTCATATATTTGTCTGTTCATCTATCTATCTATCCATATCTATCTATCTATCTATCTATCTATCTATCTATCACCTTGTTCATATATTTGTCTGTTTATCTATCTATCTATCTATCTATCTATCTATCTATCTATCTGTCACCTTGTTCATCTATCTATCTATCACCTTGTTCATATATTTGTCTGTTCATCTATCTATCTATCTATCTATCTATCTATCTATCTATCTATCTATCACCTTGTTCATATATTTGTCTGTTTATCTATCTATCTATCTATCTATCTATCTATCTATCTATCCTTTCTTTTCTTTTTTTTTCTTTCTTTCTTTCTTTCTTTCTTTCTTTCTTTCTTTCTTTCTGCTTTCTTCGATCTCTTTTATGTTTCTATGTTTCTCTGTCTCTGACTCTCTCTCTACCTATCTGTCTATCTTCTTTCTTCCTTCTTTTTATCTATCTATCTATCTATCTATCTATCTATCTATCTATCTGGGCAAGAAATTCAGAATGCTTTTTTGATGGATTCAAAGCTCAACTTTGAAAGGTATGACTTCCATTCGGACAACTTCTTCCCAAAAACCACTGCCTTGTGGAAAAGACTCCCGAGTGTATACTTTCTTGAACACTATAATATTAAACTCTTCAAGTCATGGTTCAACCATTATCCATAGTGCATATCCTCATAAGATTTTTCTTACGTTCATAAAACAACCCCATTCAGTGGCGCTCTTCCTTGAGTGGCTTTTGTGCCTTTTATTGGGTGTACAGTAGTATAAAAGAAGCTGATTTTAGTCTGGTCAAGCGATAATATTTTTGTCCCAGAATGAAGCAAACTTAAACTGTAGACTGCATATAAAACAAATAATATACATAAGCGAAGTTAAGCAACTTCGAGCCCGGTTAGTACCTAGATGGGTGACCACTTGGGAGTATCAGGTATTGCGAGCTTTATTAATTGCAGAACTGCTCCAATTCCAGTTGGGTTCGTTATATTCACTTACGCGCATATATTATTGGTAAAGGCATAAATCCATCTCCCCCCCACGGCTATGGGTTAATTAGGAAGACTTGTATCACTTAATCATTATTAACTCCAAAAGAAATTCTTACAGTCTAAAAACATTTCTCGCTTCAAATGACCTGCAATGGGTTGATAATCCGTAAAAAAACGAATCACTCAATCAATAATAAAAGGCGGGAAACTTAGCAAGAAAAAAAAAACTAAGTAAGTCTTGTTTTTGGACTCAAGGAGGCGACAAGAACGAATTGTTCTCGATTCAAGGTTGCATCCCAGAAAAAGTGATATTAATCCGTCCAGTTTTGGGCCATTTGCACGTGACCGGCCAACGTGGGAGATCGGCGGCGTGGGGGGTGAATTTGCCATCGCAAAATGAGGAAATTTGAGGCCAAATAAGGATCGCAGATGCAGAAGCCAAATGAGGAGAATCACGTAAACAACGGGAATGGGTCGACAACATGAACGTCACAGGGCAATTTCCTTTTCACTGTGTGCGGAAGAACATACCATTCAAAAGTTGAACGTTGCATCCATCAAAGAAAGCGTTCTGAATTCCTTATCCACATAGATAGATATTAAGAAAGAAAGAAAGAATAAAGAAAGAAAGGGAGAGACTTAGATAGATAGATAGATAGATAGATAGATAGATAGATAGATAATGAACTGAAGGAGAAAAAAAGAAAGAAAGAAAGACAAAGTCTGAGAGGGAGATATGAATAGACGAAAATACAAATAGTCTGATATATATATATATATATATATATATATATATAGAGAGAGAGAGAGAAGGAGAGAGAAAGATAATGAATAGACTGAAGTAGAAAGAAAGTGAAAGAAACATTTTAGGAGAAATATGAATAGACTAAAATAAATGAACAGTTCTGAGATAGATAAATAGATAGATAGAATAGATAGATAGATAGATAGATAGATAGATAGAAGGATAGAATAGATAGAATAGATAGATAGATAGATAGATAAAATAGACTAGATAGATAGATAGGTAGATAGATAGATAAATGAACAGACCTCAGATAGATAGATAGATAGATAGATAGATAGATAGATAGATAGAAGGATAGATAAATAAATGAACAGAGATAGATAGATAGATAGATAGATAGATAGATAGATAGATAGAAAATGATAGATAGATATCAGATAATGAATAGATAGATAGATAGATAGATAGATAGATAGATAGATAGATAGACTCAGATAGATAGATAGATAGATAGATAGAACAGACTCAGATGAGATGGATAGGATGAATGGATAGATAATGAACAATGATAGATAGATAGATAGATAGATAGATAGATAGATGGATAGATAATGAAATAGACTGGATAGATAGATAGATGGATGGATAGATAGATAGATAGATAGATAGGATAGATAATGAAACAGACTAGATAGATAGATGGATGATAGATAGATAGATAGATAGATGGATGGATAGATAGATGTGAACAGACTGAGATAGATGGATAGATAGATAGATGGATGGATAGATGGATAGATGATGGATAGACTCAGATAGATGGATAGATAGATAGATGGATAGATAGATAAATGGATGACTAGATAGATACATAGACTCAGATAGATGGATGGATGAGATGGATGGATGGATAATGAAACAGATGGATATAGATAGATAGATAGATAGATGGATGGATAGATAGATGGATGGATAGATAATGAACAGACTCAGATAGATGGATGGATGGATGGATGGGATGGATAGATGAATGGATAGATAATGAACAGACTGAGATAGATAGATAGATAGATAGATTGATAGATAGATTAAAAATAGCAAGAAGGAAAAAAAAATAAAGTCTGAGATATATGAATCAAGTTAAAAAATAGAAAGAGTCTGAGATAATAAATTGACTGATAGATAGATAGATAGATAGATAATGAACAGACTGAGATAGATAGATAGATAGATAGATAGATAGATAGATAGATAGATAGATTAAAATAGCAAGAAGGAAAAAAATAAAGAAAGTCTGAGAGATATATGAATCAAGTTAAAAATAGAAAGAGTCTGAGGTAATAAATTGACTGATAGATAGATAGATAGATAGATAGATAGATAGATAGATAATGAACAGACTGAGATAGATAGATAGATAGATAGATAGATAGATAGATAGATAGATAGATAGATAGATAGATTAAAATAGCAAGAAGGAAAAAAATAAAGAAAGTCTGAGAGATATATGAATCAAGTTAAAAATAGAAAGAGTCTGAGATAATAAATTGACTGAAAGACCACAAAAACATAATGTGCTTTCTTATTGACATGGCTGTCCCTTCAGATTGTAATCTACCTTCAAAAAACTATCAAAATAAAAGAATCTTGAAATGGAAATCTAAAAAAAATGTGGCATATGAGGATATCAATAATTTCACATGTTGTTGGAGTCTTTGGATTGATTGCAAAAGGTTCCGATTGACTCATATTGAAAGGATCCTAGGTAACCCAAGAAATACAAAAATTGAACTCTCAAGTAAAACTCACACATTACGAAGAGCCTTATCTATGAAAAATGTGTGTAATCTTTGTTTTTTTTTTACAAAGAATGATCAGGGAAAATGTCATGAAGACATTTTTGATCTTTGGACTCTGGGTAGGACAGGGAAGTAAATGTGTATACAACAGAAATCAAAGGAAATAATAATAATAATAATAATAATAATAATAATAATAATAATAATAATAACTATTATCATTATTATTACTATTATTTCCTTTGATTTCCGGTGTATACTCATTTCTTTCCGGGTCCCAACCAGAAAGCTAAGGCCAGTAGTGGCATCATAACATTTTCCATTGATCATTCTTTCTAAAAAAAACAAAGATTATATACATTTTACATGGATAAAGCTCTTCGTAATCTGTGAGTTGTACTTGTGAGTACAATTTTTGTATTTCTTTAAGGCATGGATTACCAGGTTATTCCTTTAATGAGTTTATTGGAATCTTTACCAATCAATCCTGGAATTGTTGATGTGCCATATTTTTGAGATTTCGATTTCAAGGTCCTTGTATTTTGATAGCCTTTTGAAGATCTTCAAAGATACATTGCAGTCTGCAGGGACTGCCATATCAATAAGGAGGCACCGTTTTTGTTTGCTGTCTCTAATTATGATGTCTGGGCGAATAGCTTTGATTGTTCTGTCTCTGTGTATTGTGTAAACCCATGAAAATGTTACAGGTCCTATCACCGGAACTGGGTCTGGGTGATGGTCATGCCAATTTATTTCTGCTTCCTTTCCGTAGAAGTTGCAGATTTTCCAGTGCAGATATTGACGCACTTCGTCATGACGTGTTTTATACTCAGTGGGTGCCAATTCAGCGCCACCTGATACAAGATGGTCAATTGTTTCTGGATATTTATCACAGAAGCTGCATTTTGGACTAACACAATTTCTCAGTATGCTTGGTAATTTCTTGTTAGCAAACATTTCTCCTGTGCAGCAAAAATAAAACCTTTGGTTTCAGCTTTTAACCTTGCACTACGTTGTCACTGATGGGTACAGAATTTGTCTACATCAGCTTGTTTGGTACGGTCAGGGTATTGGCCGTGAAGCGATTTAACTTGCCATCGTCTCTGTATCTGGTCAGTTACATTTTACTTTGCTTTCTTTTTTAAGTATTTTGCAGCTTCGGTCGGTGTATTGTTTTGAAATTTTTTCACTCACCTGAAACTCCATTTTGAACTTGTTGACTTTCTTTATTACTAAATAAAGTCGCTTACAATTTTCATGTTCTTTGAAACAGATCATCATACAGTCTTCTTTAGTTTCTAGGTATCTTTGAAGGATAATTTTTGTAGTTTTGTAAGACAATTCTAGTTGAACTAATCCTCTGCCTCCTTCAGATCTTGACACATACAGACGATCAACATCAGCCTTGGGATGATGCATGCGGTGGCAAGTGAGAAACTTTCTCGTTTTGGCGTCCATTCGCTTAATGTCAGCCATGGTCCAGTTAAGAATGTTGAATCTGTCTTGCTCTACAGGGACAACCAAGGTGTTTATGGCTGTTATTCTGTTGTTGTTTTTTAATTCAGCTCGGTACTCAGTACCAGACGCATACCCCTGTAGCACTTCTTACTTATCTTCTACTTCATTTGAGTATGCTGTATTCCATCTCCTTCGCTAATTCCTAGGTACTTATAGGCTTCATCTTGTTTCAGTTTCTTAATCTTTGTGACAAAGTCTAAATCTATTGAGTGTGTTTCTCCCTTTTTTTAATGTTACTTTTGTACATTTATCTAATCTGAAATCCATACCTATGTCGTCACCGAAATATTTTACAGTATTGAGGAGACCCTTCAACTCATTGTCGTCTTTGGCAAAGAGTTTGAGATCATCCATGTAGAGTAGGTGATTGAATACTTTCTTGTTTATTTTTTATCCATAGCTATTATTATTATTATTATTATTATTATTATTATTATTTTTCTTCCTTTGATTACACATTTCCTTCCGGGTCCCAACCAGAGACATAAGTCAGAAATGGTATCATGTCATTTTCCACTGATCATTTCTTGTAAAAAAGAAAAAGTTAGACCATGCACATTTTACATAGATAAAGCTCTTCGTAATGCGTCAGTCGTGGTTGTGAGTACATTTTTGTATCTCTTGGATTACCCGGGAGATCTTCAATCAATTCAAGAGCTCCAGCTACAACTGGAATTATTAATATCCTCATCTATCCCATTTTTCAGATTTCCACTTCAAGATCTTTGTATTTTTGAAGATCTTCAAAGATACATTACAATCTGCAGGAATTGTCATGCCAATAAGAAAGCACATTCTGTTTTTGTGATCTCTAATCACGATGTCTGGCCGATTAGCTTTGATTGTTCTGTTTGTGTTTAGCGTAAAATCTCGTGAAAATTTTTACAAGTCCTATCTCCGTAACTGGGTCGGGGTGATGTTCATAGAAGTTTCTTAGAATTTCCTTCCCGTAAACTTCTTGAAATGGAATGAAAACAGTGATGGCACTTACCATGAATCCATCATCAATGTTTTCGTTCGTTCGTTCGTTCGTTCGTTCGTTCGTTCGTTCGTTCTTCTTCTTCTTCTTCTTCCACCGCCTCCTTTTTCTTCTGCTTTTTCTTCCACTTCTTTTTTCCTCTTCTTTCTCTTTTTCCTCCTTTTCTTCTTTTTCCTCTTCTTCCTTTTTCTTCTGTTTTCTGCTCCATAATCTTCCTCCTCCTCCTCTTCCTCCTTTTCTTCTTCTTCTTTTTCTTTTTCTTCTTTCTTTTCGTCGTCTTCTTCTTCTTCCTCTTTTTCCTCCTCCTCCTTCTCCACCTCATCCTCTTCTTTTTCTACTCCCACCTCCTCCTTTTTCTTTCACTTCTTTTTTCCTCTTCTTCTTCTTCCTCTTCTTCTTCTTCTTTCTCTTTTCCTCCTCCTCTTCTTCTTTTTCCTCCTCTTCCTTTTTCTTCTGTTTCCTCTTCATCTTCTTCCTGTTCATCTTCTTCTTCCTCCTTTTCTTCTTCTTCTTTTTATTCCTCTTCTTTTTCTTCTTCCACTGCCTTCTTCTTCTTCTCATTCTACTTCTTCATCTTCCTCCTTTTTCTATTCTTCTTCTTCCTCTTGTTCTTCTTCCTCTTCTTCATTTTCCTATTCTTCTTCCTCTTCGTCTTGTAAAAAACAGTGCAGATATTGACCCACTCTGTTGTTCCATGTTTTATATTCAGTGGATGCCAGTACCGCAGAACCTTTTACATGATGGTCAATTGTTTTTGGATATTTAACACAGAATTTGAATTTCAGCTTAACACAAATTTTAATATGTGTGCTTGGTAATTTCTAGTTAGAAAGCATTGATCCTGTTAACCCTATACTACGCAGCCACTGATGGGTACAGGCTTTGTCTATATCAGCTTGTTTGGTACGGGGAGAGTATTAATCATGAAGAGGGTTATATTGTCACCGTTTTTGCATTTGGTACATTGCATTTGCTTCTGTTTTCTTTCGTTTTTTTAGTTTCTTTGCCAATGCAGTACATGTATTATTTTTTATTTTTCACTTCCTTTATTACGGAATAAAGTTTCTTATTTCTTCCATGTTTTTTGACGCATGTCACCATCCAGTCTTCTGTAGTTTCCAGGTATCTTTGAAGACCAATTGTTGAAGTTGAACTAATCCTCTTCCTCCTTCGGATCTGGGCACATACAGACGATCAATATCAGCCTTAGAATAATGCATGCGGTGGCAAGTGAGAAACTTTCTCGTTTTGACATCCATTCGCTTAATGCCATTTATGGTCCAGTTAAGGATTATTATTATTATTATTATTATTATTGTTGTTGTTGTTGGTGGTGGTAGTGGTATTATTTTATTACCTTTGATTTCTGGTGTATACTCATTTCTTTCCGGGTCCTGACCAGAGACCTAAGGTCAGAAATGGCATCGTGACATTTTCCATTGAGCAGTTTTGAGAGAAAAACACAAACCTAATATCACAAATAATTTACATAGATGAAGCCCTTCGTAAGCCCTTGTGGTTTGGGCTAGCAGGGACCCCGTCAATTAGTCTATCGGAACCTTTTCCAATCTATCCGGAAATAATCTGGAATTATTGATGTCTTCATGTGCTATATCTTTTTTTTTTTTTTAGATTTACACTATTATTATTATTATGACTTTTCGAATTTCTTTCAGCGGCCTCGTTTACCTTTCTTTCTCTCTTACTCTCTCTTACTCTCTCTCTATCTATCTTTCTTTCTCTCTCTCTCTCCCTATATATATATATATATATATATATATATATATATATATAGATAGATAGATAGATATTGTCATCTACAGATAGACTGTTTCGCTGTATCACACATCAGTGAGACTAGGCATCCGATTGCCTCAAGCCAGGATCGAAACCCAACAGATTTGGCAGAGAGGAATGTGAATTTTTCTGTATTTATTTTAGAATAAACACGACAGTGACTCAGAGTGCTCAATTCACAAAAGAGCTTTGCATCTGCAGTAACAATCACTGTTTACAAATTCGTTCTTTCCCTCTAAAGTGCTCGACCGAATTTTATTTTTCGGGGTATATAAATTGTCATCCACAGACAGACAGATTCGCTGTATCACAGCTTATCCGTATGGTTAATCCGATTGCCTCAGCCAGGATCGAAACCCAAGTGACTTAGCATCAGTGGGAGCGTTTTTCCCAAAGCTATCAGCTCCTGGTAGAGTGGAAAGTGAATTTTACGTATTTACTTTTGAATAAACACGCCAGTATATAGATCTCTCTCTCTCTCTCTCTCTCTCTCTATATATATATATATATATATATATATATATATATATATATATATATATATATACTAGTAGTATAACCCGTATTCGACGGTGTTTCATTACTGGGAATTTTTGACATTCATTTGAAGCAGTTTAAATTTAATGTCAGCCCACCCGAAAATCAATATCAGTAACAGCAATTAGATGCAACTGAGGTCTCAATCTTGCAAGGAAGGAACCTCTTTTATGGACCGTCATAATAATAATATACAATAATTTTTATTTATAATATAATTATTTTTTTATAATTCTAATAATCTTTTGCGTTAGATTTTAACTCTCTAAATTGATTGTACGCTGTTATTTTACAGACATTTAATTTTGCCTTTTAGCAAAGTGTAAAAATCAGTTTTTTCGATTTTTCATCTTCAAGGTGTAATTTTTCCAGCCAATTTGGAATCAAAACCGGCACTGAAGAATTATCTATCAAACAAAAAAATTTCATTGAAATCGGATGAAAACTGTGGAAGCACATAAACAACATCTGATCACACACACACACACACACATACATACACACACATTTTGAGAATTAAAGATATAGAAGATATATATATGTGTTTGTGTGTTGTATGTTTGTATGTTGTGTGTGTGCGTTTGTGTGTTGTGTGTGTGTGTGTGTGTTCTTAACACTAAATCAATCAGTTTGGGTTTAGGTAACACTTCTCCTTTATCTTGATATTTAATACAGGAACTAATTTCTTGTATGAAATTTATTCCCTTATGTAAAAGGACAAACGATAAAGTCTGAACAATACTGCTGAAATAATTATTAGCGTGTGCGCGTGCGCATTGACGTATTTGCAAATGCACATGCCCAGCAATGAAAAATATATCTGCGCATGTGCAATCTAAAAATATCTTTCAGCATACAATAGTGTTAACCACTTCACAAGGCTGCTTCAGTAAAGATTAGTTTTAAACTGATGCAAATTTAATTTGGATGTAGAATGCTCAGGCTTGGACATGACAAATTAAAACTGACAGCTGCTCTCGAAAATGAACTTCAATTATTAGTTAACGGGGGCAAAGAACGGTTTATAGATTTTAACGCCCCCCAAATTTATACTGCTATCTTTTAATCACCATAGAAATGTTTTGGCATACAATCTAGCCAATTTCATTTGGATTCTTTTTTTTTTAGTTTCCATCATCTTTGTTATTAAATATCCCATCTTGGGACAAAAGAAGATCTGCCAAGAATGGGAAAACGTTGTAAGAATCTGCACGTAAATTTACTTTGGATGCACTAGCGATTAAAGCACTTTCTTAAAAACATTTTCGTCTTAGTAAATTATTTTCTCTTTTAAATAGAGTTGGATTTTTTTAGGTCAATATTGTAGTCAATTTCGTTACGGTAAAAAACCAATAATAAAGATAATGGAAACAAAATGAAAAAGAATCTGGATGAAATAGGCCACAATGCAAGAAAAAAAAAATTATTTCTAAATTCTCAAACACCCCCCCCGCAACGTACGTCTCTCGTTCGTGTGTAAGTAGAATCACAACAACGTCAACAAACACCCAACCCGACGAAGTCCTAACGGATGAAAAGCGCCAGGAAAACTTTTTCCAATTTGTCATAAATCTGTTTTTTCATTTGGTCTGACGTGCTATACTATTTAGCTACAGAGGAAGGCCAAATAACGGTTCCGTGTAGGATACAGGTTCGATTGCTGATGGAGGGCACATATTTTCTAAGACATTTCTCAGACATTCAGGCTGGTAAATGTAGTTAATGCTGTTTATTATAAACAGAACATTTACTTAAATACTTGTATTTATAAAAATAACGTATATATATATATATATATATATATATATATATATATATAATTAAAGTTATATTAGGTTAAAAGATCATTTTCACCTGAAAATTGAAAGTAAAAGTGAGAGGAAAGGACAATAAAAGAAGAGGAATTAAGAAGACAGAAGATAACGATTGACTTTGCATTGAAATTTTTGAAGATCAAAGTTGACTGGAAAGTAAGAAGAATGAAAGAGAATTAGAAGACTTTAGTGAGGGGAAAGGACAATAAAAGAAGAGGAATTAAGAAGACAGAAGATAACCATTGACATTGCATTGAAATTTTGGAAGATCAAAGTTGACTGGAAAGTAAGAAGAGTGAAAGAGAATTAGAAGACTTTAGTGAGGGGAAAGGACAATAAAAGAAGAGGAATTAAGAAGACAGAAGAAAACGATTGACATTGCATTGAGATTTTTGAAGATCAAAGTTGGTCGGAAAGCATGGATCCAGAAGAAAATTCCACAAACAAGAAGTGCGAGAAAAGAAACTGCTAGCGTAGAACTTACAATTACATTCTGCCAATTCAATTGTAAGCCGATGGGCCTTGTTGGTAATCTACTACGGTACTTAAATTAAAAGTCTACATGCCATAGTGAAGGCCTCATCAGAGCATTTAACATGAAAATATTTATAGAAAAGGCACAGGGACATAACATTTTTGGCGGTGAGAAAGTGACTGAAGCCGAATCACCAGACCAGGATAAATAACATTGCAGATTCCTCTTTGGATTTTATCAAGAATCTCTAAATATATAGCAGGAGCACCAGACCATATGTGGCAGCAATATTCAAAGCATGGATGAATGGTAGACTTATAAATATGTAAGATATATTCTGGAGAGAAACATTGCAGATTCCTCTTTGGATTTTATCAAGAATCTCTAAATATATAGCAGGAGCACCAGACCATATGTGGCAGCAATATTCAAAGCACGAATGAATGGTAGACTTATAAATATGTAAGATAGATTCTGGAGAGAAACATTGCAGATTCCTCTTTGGATTTTATCAAGAATCTCTAAATATATAGCAGGAGCACCAGACCATATGTGGCAGCAATATTCAAAGCACGAATGAATGGTAGACTTATAAATATGTAAGATAGATTCTGGAGAGAAACATTGCAGATTCGTCTTTGGATTTTATCAAGAATCTCTCAATATATAGCAGGAGCACCGGACCATATGTGGCAGTAACATTCAAAGCATGGATGAATGGTAGACTTATAAATATGTAAGATAGATTCTGGAGAGAAACATTGCAGATTCCTCTTTGGATTTTATCAAGAATCTCTAAATATATAGCAGGAGCACCAGACCATATGTGGCAGCAATATTCAAAGCACGAATGAATGGTAGACTTATAAATATGTAAGATAGATTTTGGAGAGAAACATTGCAGATTCATCTTTGGATTTTATCAAGAATCTCTAAATATATAGCAGGAGCACCAGACCATATGTGGCAGCAATATTCAAAGCATGGATGAATGGTAGACTTATAAATATGTAAGATATATTCTGGAGAGAAACATTGCAGATTCCTCTTTGGATTTTATCAAGAATCTCTCAATATATAGCAAGAGCACCGGACCATATGTGGCAGTAATATTCAAATCATGGATGAATGGTGGACTTATAAATATGTAAGACAGATCCTGGACATAGCACGACATAGTGAACCAACTTTCTCACCAAGCAATGCATTCAATATAGTCTTTCCACTTCATGTCAATCCGAGAATGTCTTCCCGAGGAGGTGCAACGAGTCACTCTCCTGGATGTTAGGCATTTTGATGGAAGGCAGAAGGAGTCTTTCTGGTGATTAAGTGATAGATTAATACTTTCGTTTTCGGCTTAATCTTGACAATATAAGATAAGTAGTTTATACTGTGTTGATAGTAGACAAAGAAACTACTGGAGTCCATGGACGATGTAGTAATAGAATGCTAAAAGAACGGACTAACCATCATGTGTAAAACGGATTATGTAGCACCAAAAATATAACTTTCCATCTACCTTGATCATTTCTTTCTTTTTTCTTTTTTGTCTTCTTTGATCCTTTCTTTCTTTTTTTCTTTCTTTCTTCAGTCCTTCCTTTCTGGCTTCTTTCTTTCTTTTTAAACTTTCTTTTTTCCTTCTAAAGTTCTCCTCTCTTTCTACTTTCGTCTTGTTCTTCCCTTTTTTTTCTTTTTCTTTCTTTGTTTCTTTCTTTCTCTTTACACTTCTCTTTACTTTTAACCACCTCTTTTTATTTTTCTCTCCTTTTCCTTCCTCTCTTCTTTCTTTCTTTCTTTCTTTACACTTCTCTTTACTCCCAACCACCTCTTTTTATTTTTCTCTCCTTTTCCCTTCCTCTCTTCTTTCTTTCTTTCTTTCTTTCTTTCTTTCTTTCGTTCTTTCTTTCTTTCTTTCTTTCTTTCTTTCTTTCTTTCTTTCTTTCTTTCTTTCTTTACACTTCTCTTTACTCCTAACCACCTCTTCTTCTTATTCTTTCTTTTCCATTCCTCTCTTCTTTCTTTATTTCTTTCTTTCTTTCTTTCTTTCTTTCTTTCTTTCTTTCTTTCTTTCTTTCTTTCTACATCTTCTCTTTTTCCCTCTATCCCCTCTTTCTCTCTTTCCTCTCTTCTTTCTCCCTATTTTTTCTTTGCGTCTTTATTTCTTTTTTTATTTTTACCCTTTCTCATTTCTTTCCACTTTCCTCTATTTACTCTTTCTTTTTTTTCTGTCCCACCGTCTCTTTTTTTATCACTCTTCTTTCTTTCTTATACGCTTTCTTTTTTATTTCTTTCTCTCTTACTCTTCCTCTTTTCTTTCTACATTATTTTCTTTACTCTTTTTCCTTTCGACTCTTCCTTCTCCCTATTATTTTTTGGTTATACCATTTCTTTCTTTCTGTTCATACTTTTTCTTTTCCTTCTACTTTCCTCTCTTTCTCCTTTTCTTCTTTTCTTTCTTGCTTTCTTTTTTCTTTCCTTTTATATTTTCTCCTTTCCATTTTCTTTCCTCTCACTACTCTTTCTCTTTTTCCCGCTTCCTTCTTTGTTTGTTTCTTTCTTTCTCTTTACACTTTCTCTTTTTCTTCCACCTTCCTCTATCTACACTTTCTCCCTTCCTATGTCCTTTTTTTCTTTCTCTCTTTCTTTATCTCTTTCTCCTTCATAAATCTTTTTTCTTTCTTTTCATTTTACCGTTTCCTCCTACCTTCTTTCTTTCTTTCTTTCTTTCTTTCTTTCTTTCTTTCTCCCAATCTTCTTTCTTTCTTTTTATTTTACAGTTTCCTTCTACCTTCCTCTTTCTTTCTTTCTTTCTTTCTTTCTTTCTTTCTTTCTTTCTTTCTTTCTTTCTCCTCCCAACCTTCTTTCTTTCTTTTTATTTTACAGTCTCCTTCTACCTTCCATTTTGTTTGTTTGTTTGTTTTTCTTTCTTTCTTTCTTTCTTTCTTTCTTTCTTTCTTTCTTTCTTTCTTTCTTTCTTCCAATCTTCTTTCTTTTTACACTTTCCTGATGCCTTCCACTTTCTTTCTTTCTTTCTTTCTTTCTTTCTTCTCCCAACCTTCTTTCTTTCTTTTTATTTTACAGTCTCCTTCTACCTTCCTTTTTGTTTGTTTGTTTTTCTTTCTTTCTTTCTTTCTTTCTTTCTTTCTTTTTACACTTTCCCGATGCCTTTCTCTTTCTTTCTTTCTTTCTTTCTTTCTTTCTTTCTTTCTTTCTTTCTTTCTTTCTTCTTTTTTTTTACACTTTCCTCATGCCTTCCTCTTTCTTTCTTTCTTTCTTTCTTTCTTTCTTTTTTTCTTTCTTTCTTTCTCCAGACTGAACCTCAGTCCCGATTTCGTTACAGAACACAAACAAGCATGGAAGCGATAATCAATAATCTATTCAGTTATCAAGTATACCTCAAGATTTACAGATTTAATCACAGCAAACAATATGTTTCTATTTAAAGCGAAACACCACTGACCGATGTGAAAACCTCTCCTAGCCTCTAAGCAACGACGGACCTTTTACGCGCCAATAGCAAGTCACGCGTGATCTCAATTTATCCGTGACTAGGCATGCTTAACAATAGAATTGATCTGACGAATGGATTGTGCACTAAATAAACACTGAAACTTTTTCTTAATTTGCAGACAAGTGACGACAAGACACAACAAAGGGTCGTTTTCAATGGGACGAAGTAAACTAGTGATTTCCAGAACTATTTTCATCATATCTGTGCAGTAGAAGGAATCGGGTAGAGACAGTTGAAATTTCTAGGACGTATAATGAGGAAAGGGGGCTTGGGAAATTTGATACTCATGGGACAGATTGAAGCCAAGTGGGGCAGAGAAAAATAACACATGACATACTTGATGAGCTTGAGTAAATGGATGGTGGAACAGGCTTTAGGAGAAATAACAAAGAGAGAAATGTATTAAGTTCTACAACGGACAGGAAGTTGGGGAGAACCATGATTGCTTACATCCTGAAGGGACAGGGCGCATCAAAGAAGAAGAATGATTAAATGGATGGCGAAACACGGTTTAATAGAGACAAGAGAAATACATTTATTAAGATCTACAAAGTCCAGGAAATTGTAGAGAAGCATGATTGGCTACGTTCTGAAGGGACACGGCAAGAAGAAGAAGAAGAAGAAGAAGAAGAAGAAGAAGAAGAAGAAGAAGAAAGAAAGAAAAAGAAGACGAAGAAGTCTATTGTTATAATGCTTCTATTTTATTATTAGTTATTGCTGTTAATCTCTTACTGTGCCTAATAAAATCTACGGTAAGAAAGAATCTTCTATCTGTCACATAACTTTTATTATAGTCTATTGTTATAATGCTTCTATTTTATTATTAGTTATTGTTGTTAATCTCTTATTGTGCCTAATAAAATCTACAGTAAGAACGAATCTTCTATCTGTCACATAACTTTTATTACAGTCTATTGTTATAATTGTTTTATTTTATTATTAGTTTCTGTTAATGTCTTATACTAATTAATAAGTTAAACTTTATTTATATGTATGTATGTATACAAGCGCAATATTAGTCTGGATAACTGGGAGACTCTAGCTGAAGACCGGATTTCTTGGAGAGCTGGTGTTGCTGATGGCGTCAAGATCTTCCATGAATCATCACAAAAATATGCAGAATTGAAGACAGGGGTTTGGAAGGGAACCCTGAATTGCCATGAGATGCCAACCTGGCCATGTGCCCAATTCAATCGGATATATCTCTCCAGGGCAGGTTTGCTCAGTTACCAGAAATCACACCACAACTAACAATCTATTGCATATGACAATTTCATATTGGCATGTTTTGAATGTCCATCCTGCACTACAGTCTGTCCAGGTCGGGTTTGACAAGGCATATAAAAAAAGACACATTGGAATATCTATCTATGTCAGCCTGTTCACATATCTATCTATCTATCTATCTATCTATCTATCTATCTATCTATCTATCTCAGCCTGTTCACATATCTGTCTGTCTATCGATCAATCTCAGCTTGTCTCATATCTGTGTGTCTGTTTATCTATTGAGCTTGTTCACATATCTATCTCAGCCTATTCACATATCTATCTATCTATCTATCTATCTATCTATCTATCTATCTCAGCCTGTTCATATATCTATCTGTCTATCGATCAATTTCAGCTTGTCTCATATCTGTGTGTCTGTTTATCTATCGAGCTTGTTCACATATCTATCTCAGCCTATTCACATATCTATCTATCTATCTATCTATCTATCTATCTATCTATCTATCTATCTATCTATCTATCTCATCCTGTTCACATATCTGTCTGTCTATCGATCAATCTCAGCTTGTCTCATATCTGTGTGTCTGTTTATCTATCGAGCTTGTTCACATATCTATCTCAGCCTATTCACATATCTATCTATCTATCTATCTATCTATCTATCTATCTATCTATCTATCTATCTATCTATCTCAGCCTGTTCACATATCTGTCTGTCTATCGATCAATCTCAGCTTGTCTCATATCTGTGTGTCTGTTTATCTATCGAGCTTGTTCACATATCTATCTCAGCCTATTCACATATCTATCTATCTATCTATCTATCTATCTATCTATCTATCTATCTATCTATCTATCTATCTATCTATCTCATCCTGTTCACATATCTGTCTGTCTATCGATCAATCTCAGCTTGTCTCATATCTGTGTGTCTGTTTATCTATTGAGCTTGTTCACATATCTATCTCAGCCTATTCACATATCTATCTATCTATCTATCTATCTATCTATCTATCTATCTATCTATCTATCTATCTCAGCCTGTTCACATATCTGTCTGTCTATCGATCAATCTCAGCTTGTCTCATATCTGTGTGTCTGTTTATCTATCGAGCTTGTTCACATATCTATCTCAGCCTATTCACATATCTATCTATCTATCTATCTATCTATCTATCTATCTATCTATCTATCTCAGCCTGTTCACATATGTCTGTCTATCGATCAATCTCAGCTTGTCTCATATCTGTGTGTCTGTTTATCTATCGAGCTTGTTCACATATCTATCTCAGCCTATTCACATATCTATCTGTCTATTTATCTCAGCCTGTTCACATATCTGTCTGTCTGTCTATCGATCAATCTCAGCTTGTCTCATATCTGTCTGCCTATCTATCTAAGCCTGTTCATATATCAGTCTGTCTGTCTATCTATAGCTTCACATATCTATCTCAGCCTGTTCGCATATCTGTTTGTCTATCTATCTCACTCGGTACAGATATGTATGTATGTATGTATGTATGTATGTATGTATGTATGTATGTAAGTGATGTGAGTGAAATTGGATAGACGGAACCCTTGGGTGCCGTAGATAGCTGTGCTAACACGAAGTCACAAGTCATCGTGGCCGAGGAGAACAAGAAGGAGGAGGATAAGAAGAAGCAGGATGAGGAGAATGAGGAGGAGAAGGAGTAGAGTAGAAGGAGAACGAGATGAAGGAGGAGGAATTGAAGAAGAAAAGGCAGAAGGAGGAGGAGGAGGAAGAGAAGAACGAGGAGGAGGAGAAGAAGGAGGAGGAAAATAAGAACTAGAAGAAGAAGGAGGACGAGGACAACAAAAAGAAGGAGGATAATAAGAAGCAGGATGAGGAGAATGAGGAGGAAGAAAAGAAGAAGAAGTAGAACGAGATGAAGGAAGAAGAAGAAGAAGAAGAAGAAGAAGAAGAAGAAGAAGAAGAAGAAGAAGAAGAAGAAGAAGAAACATTATGGATTGATAGCCAGAAACGTGCTGTGTCATTGTAGCAGAAAGATAACATAGTCTGGCCAGAAGAACTCCAATACCCAGAAGTCAGAATGTTTCCTACTGGACAATAAATTACCTTCTTGTAATATCGATATCTTCTGGGGAAGATGTTTTAATCAACACTGTCCAAAGGGACAAACAAACGATATTAAGCAATCTGGGAAAATATTGATAGACGACTATTACAAAATACAAAGATTGAAAAGGTTCTGTTTGATAATGGCAACGAGATTTGAGTGAGACTTGGAGGCAATCGAGATCTCCAGACAAGAATTCTAATAAACAAGATTTTTTCACATTTTCTAAATCGATAATTGAACTAAAAAAATAATCAACTGGGTTTGTTATTGAACATTTCTTCTTCTTCTTCTTCTTCTTCTTCTTCTTCTTCTTCTTCTTCTTCTTCTTCTTCTCGTTCTCCTCCTCCTCTTCCCTTCTTCTTCCCCCTTCTCCTACTCCTTCTTCTTCTTCTTCTTCTTCTTAGTCTTCCTTCTTTCTTCTTCTGTTTCTTTTCTTTTTTTTCTTTTTCGTTTTCTGCTATTTCGGGTTTTTTTTTCTTCTTTTTCTTCAGTATTTTCTACGCTTTTCCTTCTCCTTGTATTTATTTTCAATTATTTCTTTTTTCTCTTTTTTGTCTTCTTTTTCACTCCTTCTACTTCCTTATCTCTTTCTTTTTCTGTTTCATTCGTTTTTCCTTCTTTTTCAGTTTCTGTTATTTCGTCCCATTTTTATTGTTTCTTTAGTAATTTTTAGCTCTTTCCTTCTCCTTCTTTTTTCAGTTATTTTTAGTTGTTGTTGTTGTTGTTGTAGTTCTTCTTCTTCTTCTTCTTCTTCTTATTATTATTATTATTATTATTATTATTATTATTATTATCTTCCATTTTTCTTCTTTCGTGATTCTTTTATTCTCTTTCATTTGTTCTTTTCTTCCTCTTGTTTTTCTTCTTTTTTCTTCCTCTTTCTTCTTCCTCTTTTATATTATTTTCCTCCTCTTTTGCTCCCTCCTTCTGCTGATGCTTGTATTTCTTTTTATCTTCCTCCTCCTCTTCTGTCTATCTCTCTTATTTCTCACCCTCCTTCTGCTATATCTCTCGTCTTCTGCCTCCTTTTTTTTATCCTTTTCTTCCTCCTTCTGCTCCTCCTGCTTCTTCTTCTTCTTGACGCTTCTTCCTCACACCATAATTTACAAACAGAAAGATATCATCAACATGGCTTCTTCACCTCTCAATTATCTCTTCTCACTTGGCCAGGCAGATCTTTTCGTGCATCGAGCGCCATTTGCGTGTCGAACCCTCCAGTGCTTTCTGAGCTTGGTTCAATTATAATTTTTGTAAGATGTATTCAACATTTTTTTTTCAAACATATAATCATATATATCAAGACACAAACACACATCCGTATATATATGTAGTTTTTAAACTTAATAGTGATTAAATTTGGATTTTAAAATTGCCAGTTTTTAATTTTAATATTAAATTTTATCATATAATTTTATAATTATTGGTTAGTGTAAATTATTTTTAATATTACACGTATTTTAAAGATCTGAATAGCTATTATAACATGATTTCGTTGTCAAGCTTTTGAATTTTCTATACTTGGTTTTTGATTGGTTATTCTAGCTTTTGTAACAATGTTTCCCCCTAGTGAAGGATCGTTAATTAATCTGAAACTTTTAAAACTATTTATTTTATCTTCAACATCATCACTTGATAAGACACCGAGTGTGTTGAAACAAAATGGCTATTTTTGTAGTGATTTTATAACATACTTATGTTATAATTTTTTTTTTAATAAATAATAATTATATATATATATATATATACGTGTGTGTGTGTGTGTGTGTGTGTGTGTGTGTGTGTGTGTGTGTGTGTGTGTGTGTGTGTGTGTGTGTGTCTTGAACAATAAAAATTGTTAAAAATCAAAATTCCAGATATTGGGTTGTATATTAATATTTTTGTTTTATTTTTTCATTATGTTCCTCAACGAGTTTCGGCCAGTATGGTCATCATCAGGAGGAAAAATTCATGCTTGTGAGGAAGTTGCACTTGGCCTGTAGTTTTCATTTGTTTTTTTATCGTTAATTTTTGGTCAGTTTTGATATTGGTCAAATATTTATATTATATTATATATATTTATATATTTATATATTTAATATTTTTAAAGTTGTTATATATATATATATATACATATAATACATAATATATACATATATAATATATATATATATATAATATATATAAAATATATATATATAAATATATATATATATATATATATATATATATATATATATATATATATATATATATATACATATATAAACACATACATATTACCATATAAATATACACGCTAGCAATTTTTAATTACGCTAGCAATTTTTTATTTTAATTAATTTTATTGTTATTTTTAATACTAATTACGGTCTATTTTTAATAAATTACTATTAAATATATATTCATGTTTTAATAAGAACAACTAATCTCCCTTTAATTATATAATTTTTCAAAAATTAAAATATCAATATTCCCCAGCCAAATGTACAATTTTTTAATTTTCTTTTTTACATACATATAGAAATCCCTCTTATTTCAATAATAGGAAAAAAGAACAGGAGCCTATAAAAACTTTATTATATCCTTTATATTATCTGTACAACCTGCATCTTGTAAACGTCTTATTAAAATAATTAGGATATAAAAATTCTGATTGTATTTATACCAATGCAAATGAAAGTTATTGCAAGAAAAATATTAATGAAGCAAATATAATTTAAAAATATATAATTTTGATTTATTGCATTAATTTTAGTGAAACAAAATACTAATATTAAGCATAATGAAATTAATGTAATGAATATTATCAATGATAACAATTTTAATCTGCATAATAGCCTTTTAGATAATGACAGTAGGTATATGAAAGTTACTGTAAAGTCTAATCTAATAGGAGTTGCCAGGTAGCTAATTTCGGCCGACTATCGCGAATTTTAAATCTACATATGGCATATAAGACGCAGGGGAATTTTACAAGATATTTTTAGTAAAGAAAATGCGTCTTATATGCCGTCAAATACGGTATATATTTAGATAGGCATGGATATCTACTAAGCAACCAAATAACACTCAGGGACTCCGATAAGATTAGAGAATGTGAGAGTGATTTGATTGGTTAGTATTACTATTCTATCTCTAGAGGTATTGAGCACGTCTGTCTTTTTTCTTTTTGTGTTTCATACATTTTTTTGCCTATTTTAACCTTTCTTTCTTTATTTTGTCCTTTCTTTTTCTTGTTCCTGTTTTCTTTGTCTTTCGTAGTTTTCCTTTGGTAGGTTTAGTGTTATTATGTTTATTATTTGCAATAATAATAATAATAATAATGGCTAAAAGAATAGCGCTTGGACATAAAAAGAATTCAGAGAATTTTGGCACATTTTATGTCCAGAAAATAAAAAAACCTTACATGAAAACAAGAAAAATTAAATAAAAAACTTAAACGCAGTACTTTGCAGGTCGTCTTTAATGAAACTTGTATAAAATCGGATTGCTTCCCAAATACGCAATTATATATATATATATATATATATATATATATATATATATATATATATATATATTACTGGCTACTCGTATTCAAGGTTACCGGTTTACTAGGGCGGTTTGACAATTCCTATTGCAGACGCTTGCTCCAGGCACATTTATGTTTGTTCAAAAGAGCTCACGTTTGGTTTATTGGGCAGACCTTAGTTACTGTTTCTGGGAAAGAGCGTCTTATCTAGCGTGATCAGCAATCTGAATAAGGCCAGTACTCTCAAACCTTCGGTAACGATGACTTGTGATTTCAGCCCTGTACCAGTGGTATCGTTTCCAGGCACTCCCCCCCCCCCAGATCGATAACATCAAGAAGTCTCCTTTCTGAAAATCGACCATGGTGAGATTTGAACTTAGGTCTTATGGTCAGAAATGAGCGTTCAAACTACTCGGCTGCGTGCCCAATATATATATATATATATATATATATATATATATATATATAAGGAAGAGAAAAAATTACTGTGTTGATACATGATATTTTATTCTGAGTACTTTCGGCATACCACAATGTCATCACCAGAGTGTTGTTTATTTCGAGAGACATATTGTAATTTTCATCATTTCACAGACAAAATTGCTGTTTATCTGAAAGTTATTTTTTTACCTGTGTAGTGAAGAACTCTGAGTACTTCGATAAGCTTGACTAACGCTTCAGGGGAGGTAACTAAGTATGTTGTTGTCGAGAATCTTTAAGAAATAAGTATTAAAACTATTAGTACAAACCTCGATCTTTTAAACTATCTACTGTAAGCAAATTAAAACATTTGTGAAGTATTCATAAT